AGTTACAAATGCGCGGTTCATTTGGGGACTGGATTACACAGCATCTGTGCTGTGAAGAGCTCTGGTCCTATATTTAGATCTACAGTGGGGAGCACAGGGCCAATCGCTACCCATCCACTCACCTGCCTCTCCAGGGTCTGCAAGCATCCATCTCAAGTCAGGCAGCCCTCTCGTTCACCTCTGATCCATCAGTCATCTCCCTATACCAATCTCCTCTGTATCTATCCACTTATCCATCTATCTATCCATCCATCCATCCCTCTATCTAGCCCTTCCATTTTCCCATGTTACTTCACTCTTTAGGGCTAAAGAGCCACATTTTCCAGGCACAGCACTCAGTGCCACCAGGATTTACCCACCTCAAAGTAATGGCATTCAGGGAGCACCAGGCAGGAACTGAGACGGGTGGGATGCACGCTTCCTGCCCTCCCCTCCTGGGACAGGTGGAGATCATAAGCACAGCCACAAGATCACGGCCAGGGCAACATTACTGAAAGCAGCTGCCCAGCGCAGGGGATGGCTTGGGTTCACTCCTGCTACACTTTCATTGAGCTATTCGGTGACTTCATTTGCCTGCATGTGCCTAAGCTGCTGCTCAGTGGCATGTTGCCCCAGGGGCCTGAGGATTTCACATCTGTACATTCTTATCTCTTCCTGCCAGACTGTAATGGGCTACATTTCCCATTCACCTGCCAGGGGCAAGGCACTGTGACAGGCACTTGGGGCAGGGGGAGGGCAATGGTGGAAATGAGTAAGACAAGATCCCCACCCTCCAAGAGTTTACCAAGGAACTGGGAACAGAGGGAAGAAGGCCATCACCATGCACGACATCTTGTAAGCTGTGAATAACATTTCCCCATTCCAGGGTCTGGCTCAGCACTGCTCTCAGGTGGTAGCTGGTCTCCAATCACTTTTCCATTACAGAAATCAATAGCTTGAATTACTCCAAAATAACTAGACCCTCCATGCCTCTGAAAAGCGAATTTTTATGTCTGCATTTGCCCAAGTGCTTCTGTCTGGGTCTGAAATCTGTCCGTATGAGTTAATCCAGGTAGAACGGAGTCTTTCACCTGACTATGACACACTGGCAGAATGAGAGCGGGATCTGAGTTGGACACTTAGGTCCATGTCTTTGCTCTAACACTTACTAGCTGCGGATGCTTGTCAAACTGCCTAACCACCTAGGACGTCAGTTTCCTCATCTATAAAATAAGGATTCAAACATAATCCCCCACCAGAGTGTTAGAGAACTAAATGGAATACTCGTGTACATGAATATTCCTGGCATAACAGAGGATCAGTGACTCCTTGGATACATGCCTATTTATTCTACATAAGAATCTGAAACCTGGCTGCAACTCTATATCATGAGGACACCATATAATGAGGTTCAAGGGTAACTTCCAGCAATAACCACAATATCTTACATTGGAGAAAAAAAGATGCTGTAATGCTCGCATTTTACAAAGGACAAAGCTGAGGCTTGGGGCAGTTAAGGGAATCACTGAGGGTCCACGGATGGCTGCAGCCCTCTGATCACCTTCACAGCCTTCCACCTCTGCCCTCGTCTCTGATTCGAAACCACCAGCCCCAGTGCAGCTTCAGGATGCTGCACGCCAAGTCCAGCCATCCAGCAGATGCTGAAAAGACAGGCCTTATAAAACAACCTCTTAGAGGAAGAGCTGTGAGCTCGGCACAGCCTGCCCTCGGCGCTGCCAAGAGAATAAATCCTCCCACAGTTGCCTGAGAAGGGTCAGGTGGGAACCTCACAAGGCGAGACTCTAAAAGGAAGGAAAGAAACTGACATTACCGAACACCTATTTCATGCCAGGCACATTCACGGCCAGTGTCTCACAGACTCCTTAAAACCTGTGGTTCTCAACCTGTTGTGGGGTGGAAGTGGGGGTCACGTACCCCTTTGAGAATCTCCCGAAAGCGTTAGATTCTCTTCCCCAAATAAAGTTACCTCATTTTGCATACAGGAGGGTCAAGGTTAAGAGCTCCTGGTATAAACCTGGGCTGTTTTAAGATTTTCTAAAGCTCTAAGGACTTTCTTTTGGACGTCCCACCCCTCATCATATCAAATATTTTTATATACATCCACAGTCCATAATAAATTATACACACACACACACACACACTTCGAGTTGAATTGCAGTTAACTGTTTGACACAATGTTATATTTTGTAGATATGTAATAAATCATTAATTTCAATTTTGTGCTTTCTTTTCCTATTTTGGAGCCAATAAACTTCTTTTTGGTAAATTTTGTTGACATGTATCATACGTACAGAAAAACACACAAATCTTAAGTGTACAGCTCAATGAAGTCTCATGAAGTGAACACATCTATCCTGTACAACTGGCAGTCTGCTCCAGAAGCACCGTCACAAGCACCCAGAACCCCACCTCAGATCCCCTTCCTTCACTGCACCCCACCCCAAGGTGGCTGCTCTGCTGATTTCTAACACCATAGATTAGTTTTGCCTGTATTAGAATTTTTTATAAGTGAAACCTTAGAGTTCATACTCATTTTGTGTCTGACTGCTTTCATGGAACCCATAAACATTTTATTCACGTGCCAGCCATTTTCAGAGGCCTGTGCAAAGCTCACAGGCTCTAGGTACTGCCCAAACCAGGGTCTCTTGACCTTGCCTTGACACCAGAACCTCCAGGAGAACTTTGAAAAACCCTGAGGCCCAAGCTGCTCCCCAGAACAATGAAATCTGGGGACACCAGCAGTTTTCCCTGCTCCCCAGGTGACATCGATTGCAGCCAAGCATGAAAAGCACTGCTCTAAGCAATCCTGGAAACCATTAGTATCCCTATTTTGCAGCTGGGGAAACTGAGGCTCCACCACAAGCTACTGTCATGACGCCGGTGCTCCAATTCAGGTTTGACTTGGAGTGACATTTGCACTGACTTCATCCTTGGTGACAGTGAAGCCAGAACCAGGTGGGAGTGCCTCCTGCCAAGACCCGCCTCACTGTAAGTCCCTCCAGGGCTTTGGAGAAGAGAGGTGGGGTTTCCCAGGCTGCCGAGACCACCCCACACACACACACCTCCAGGAAAAAGGCAGCGCCCCACAGGCTGGCTGTAGGGAGAAAGAGTCACCACCAAGTGGACTGTATCTTTTTGCCCGCATCTCTGGAAACCAAAAATCCTTGCAGGTGGGAGAGGCTGATGCTTTAAGGGTGATGGTGAAGTTGCCCACAGCTGAGGAACTCTGGCCCAGGACACTGATTATGGGGTGCAGTACACGATTCCGCCGCCCGGGGGCACCACGAGCTTCTCTAAACTAGTTTTCACACACCTACCTTTGGCCAAAAGAAAGCCAGAATGTTGAGTCCCAGTGGCGATAAGCGGGGAGCAGCCGCCCAGAGGGGCTTTCCAGGGGATTCCTCTGCTCCCCCGGGTCTGATGAAGCCTGTCTCTGGCTGACAAGGGGGGTGCAGGCACGTGGCTACAACCGGACGTAGGAGAGAGGCCACCTCCCCCATAACTGAGCCAGCAGAGGTAAGCCAGGCTGAAAGAAGCCATGCCAAGTGTGGCTTCTCCCCGCTACTGCCCTTCACCAGGCTTCCCTATGGGCCCCTCAGGCCCGTGAGGAGCACAGCTCACCCACACTCCCATGATGCCCTGGGCTTGGAGGTACCAATGCTGCCTCCGTGCCCAGGCACAGCTTCAAGTCCTTCCCTGGGAACATGCCAAATCCTAACCCTAGGGTGGCTGAGGACCTCAAGCTACTGAGGGGGCATCTGAAGCTGGATCTATCATCTTTTCCACAGCCTGGAGTCTGACTGCCTAGATTCAAAGCGAAGCCAAGCTCTGCCACTTCCTAGTTGTGTAACTTTGGGAAAGTTACTTCTGTGAGCCTCAGAATCCTCATCTATAAAATGGGAATAATAATAGGAACTACAATACAGAGGGTTGTTGTGAGGATTGAATGATGAATTATGTAGAATCTTAGCACAGTGCCTGGCACACACTAATCGCTAGATAAATATCATCTACTACTATTATTACTAATGTAACGTAAAATAATAATGTACAATAACGTCACAAACAGGGCAGACAGAATGAACCTACCGGAATAGCCTCTATTTTGACAATCCCCACACACCCCAGGTTTGAGCAGCGGCAGCGAGCCCAGCCTGCCCTGTGGCTTAGGCAAAGGCCCAGCTGCCCCTTAGCGGCATGAAATAAGTGTGAAAGCCACTCAGAGTCCCATGCAGCACCACCCAGAGGGAACCCCTCCCCAAATCACCCAGAAGCTGGCGCTGTTGTCCCCAAAGTCTGTTGAGTTCCTCTCTTGGCCCCAAGACTTGAATGTGTGACCCCAGCCTCCCTGCAGCCTCAGGCAACTTCCACCTGGATGCCATCCCCATGGTGTGAGAGCAAGCACTGGGTCAGACCTTGGTTATAAACTTGGCACTATCATCAACCAGCTGTGTGACCTGGGGCCAGTCACTCACCCTCTCTGGGCCTCCGTTCTGCCTTATTTAGATGATCTTGAAATCCCTTCCCAGCTCTAGCCTATGGTTGTAGCAAAGCATGTGGCACACAGTAGGTGTTCGCTGAATGTTACTTAGGTTTATAAAATCCAAGACAAAACTCTGCTAGGGTCCAACACTCACACACTTTTCTAGACTTTTCTAGTCTGAGTGAACTGTATGATCCAGCGCCTAACAGGGCCCAACCCATGGTTAAGAGCTCAAGGAATGGGTATTTATTGAATTAATTTATTACTTACTTTTGACCTGGCTTTCAGTCCAACCTGTTCCCCCCACCCAAGGCCTCAAGTGCCCCATGGATTAGAGGATCTGGAACGTCTGCCTCTCCACCACACCACAGGCTCCAAGAAGATAGGATCTGTCCTGTGGTGTCAGGAACACACAGCCCCGCCTCCTCAGTGGGAGGTGGATGGGCAGCTGTAATCCTGGGCCATGGAACTGCCCCACCCCCCATCACCATGGGGGACAGAAGCAGCACAGAGCCTCTAGGTTAGGCAAGTCCTTTTATTGAAAAAAGAAATAATAAAATAAAAGGGCACCACATTACCTGTGCCCAGCCATCCCACAGGAGAGGCACAGGTCAGACACAAGGCCCAACCACACAGGAAGCCAGGATGGGCACAGGCAGGGTCCAGGGGTTTGGGGGATTGTGGCGGAGCCCACTGAGATGCAACTCTCTAGGGCGAGTCTTGGTCCAGGGCCCACTTAGGCTCAGGGGCTAGGCCACCCTCTCCGGCTCCCTGGGAGGCACCTCCTCCCCACACACTGCTCCTGTGTGCAAAAGAAAATCAGGCCCCTCTTTGGTTCCAGAAAGCTACCTGCAGCGACTGGTCTGTCGTATCCACTTCTAGCACCTCGTGCCAGCTGAAGCAGGCAGCCTCCTTCTGTCGATCTTCAGGCACCAGCATGGGGCAGCTTCCTGCCCACGGGCCCCCTGGGCCTCAGCAGCCAGGAACTCATTGCCTGGATGCCTCTCCTTCCTTTCAAGAAAGGAGTTTGCCTTTCCCCCTGCGTGTTGCCAGCTCCTTTGAACATCTAAGGAAGCCTTGGAGAGCCCAGAGCCTGGGCAGGCTTACCATGTAGCATCTGTGGCCCTGTTGCCTTGTCATGGGGGGCTCGGAAAGGGGCACAGAAGGCCCTGCAAGGTTGACTGCTCTCCTAGAACAACTTCTCTTCTACTAGAATGTGCACAGTCGTCAGAAGGTGGGGAGAACCTTCCAGGTGGGGGAAGGACGAGGACGAAGAGCCAAGCTGGCAGCCTCAGGCATGGGGCAAGGAGCATGAGGACTCTTATTGACAGGGAGACAGGCTGGACCCATGCAGGGAAGCAGCCACAGACCAGCGCTCATGGAGATAAGACAGGATGCAGAGAGGGGCAGTCATTGGTCTAGCAGCCAAGGAGAGCACACAAGTGCGCTCTCACACACACATGCACTCACACGTGTGTACACATACGCTCACACAGGTGCACTCACACGTGTGTACACACACACAGGTGCATGCACACGGCACTCACACACATACACACGTATATTTATGTAATAGCGCACTCACACAAGCGCCTACATGCACATACACACTTATTCTCACGTATGTGCAGGTTCTAATCTCAGGAACTTGGCTCCGGTTCTCGAGGGTCAACCCCCCAAGTCTATATCTCTCCATGAAGCATTTCTCCAGTCCCCCACATAACCTCCCAGAGCCCGGGCTGCGTGTCCCACAACCAGCACCTGGTGGCTTTCCAAGACTCAGGAGTTAGATGCTTCTTGGCAAGGCCAAGATGGCTTCAGGCTTTGGGTGGAGAGCAGGGAAGCTTTGGGTGGTCTAGAAGAGGCCAGGAGGGGGCTGGACAGCTCACCACGGCGCCCATAGTCGGACCCCTCCCATATCCCCAGACCTCGAATTCGGTGGAGGCAGGATCATAGATAGACAGAGGCCTTTGGTGGCATCAGGAAGCACAGATATTGGAAGACAGACACGGGAAGCAGGGCCCCAAGGGAAGAGAGTCCTGGTGGTGGTGGGATTTGGGGTGAGAAATCATGCAGGATGGGAATTCTCTAGGTGACAGACCTGGGCCCCATCTGTGGTGCCGAGAGAGGAGCCACAGAATAAAGGAGCCGTCCAACTTGTATTGTCCCCACCCCCAGCCTCCGCGTGACCCAGACCAGCCTCATGGGGAAAAGCCAGGTCAGGAAGTGGACCATCCTGCCAAGGGGTTGGGGGCAGGCGTCGCAGGTTGATGGCCTGCGGGAAACACTAGGCCAGTCTCCCTCCCTCCCGCCTCAGGGTAGCAGGTGGGCCCAGAGAATAGTCAGAAGCGAGTGCTCTGGTAACGCAGCCTCCGCAGGTCTGCAAGGCCCTCTGCGCGGCCGTATACCTCTCTGCAGGGACTCTCGGCCAGTCACCGGGCCCCCGCCCCACCACCCCCACCACTGCTGCTGCCACTGCCGCTGCTGCCACTGCTGGAGCTGCCACTGCTGCACCGGTCCTCGTAAATGGAGATCTCAATCTGGGGTGGCGTTAAGGAGGGTTGCCAGCTGCCAGCTGGGGTGGACAGGAACCCACTGAATGGGGCCAGGAAGGGCGCGGAGGCAGAGCTGGTCCTGCTTCTTAGGCAGTAAGGACACGGAGGCCTGGAGATCTAGGCCCCAGGCCCCTCCGTGCACACACTCAGCTCAGTTATGGAGGTGTGTAGGGCTGAGCACTGTGCAGGCACACAGTCAGGATCAGGAACCTTTCATCCTAGTGGGTCTAATTACCGAATCCCGGGAGACGATGTGCCCCCAGAGGTGGTGTTCGTGTACGGGACCTGCGAGGACTTGGGCATCCTGAGCTCAAATCCCGACTGGCCCACTCTTGAGTTTTGCGACTTTACACCAGTCACTTCCCTTACTACCCACCAGTGATTGCATGTCTAAAATGGAAGAATAATAGAATCTTGGGGTTGTTGTGAGGCGTAAGTGAAGTAACACGTGCCAGTCCCGACACGTCGTACAGGCTCAATAACAAGAAGCACGTCTCACGGGGCTTTGTAAACGTTAGAGTCTGGTATTTGTGTTTTCTTTACACTTTCCCCTCAATTTTCCAGTACAATTTATTTTTTAACCACTCTGCTCTTGCTGCTGCTGACTGGGGTTGGAAACTGTGCACACCTTGACCAGGTAAACTGGGCAGACCTATAACCCACCCCCCTGGCCAGCCTCCCACCAAGACCTCATTTTTTTCATCTATGAAAGGGGAACAGTGGGACTTACCACAGGGGATTAAGTGAGGATTACATGAGATTGTGGACAAGTAAACGTGTGTGGAGATTTGCATATTCCTTGAGGAGCAGTACAGCCTCACGGTGAAGAGTGGGCCTGGGTTCAAATCCTGCCTCTGCCATCCACCAACTGGGTGACCGTGAGGCAGTGATTTAACCACAGCGTGCTCATTATAAAGGGGAATGATAACAGTTCCCTACCTTATAGGGCTGTTATGAGAATTGCATGAATCCATAGCTTCAAAGCCCTTGATATGATATCAGGCATATAGTAAGTACTGATGAAACGCAGCTCACTAAATAAAAGCAAACCCTGAAATGCACAAACAGCACCAATAATAATAACAGCTTATGGTGGGGGAGGGTGGTGGTGACCAGAGATGTGGAGAATCCTAGGAAAACCCTGAGCAGAGGTCCTCAGGGTGGTCCCATTTCCTAGCAGCCTCACACAGAGCCCACTGATTGACAGCCCTGTGCCCCCACACAGAAGAACAGCCCGGAAGGATACAACCCTCATCCCCCGCTCCACAGGGTCCGTGAGCAGGAGGCCTCGAGGGGCAAAGATCTTCTCATTCTGCTCCTGGATGTAGCGGGAGATCTTCTTGAGAACCTGTAAGGAGAGGGGCCAGTTGAGCAGGAGGGTGCGGCAGGGGAGCCCTGAGGGAGGGGACGCAGGGCAGTCGGGGAGGGAGCACCTTCTCGTAGTGGGTCTCCATGCAGAGGAAGATGAAGTAGGCTGTGGCACAGGCCAGGCAGCCCTCCAGGTAGGAGCTGCCCCCAATCTTCTCAGCCTCCGCGTAGAAGCTGTTGAGGGTCTTCACAGTTTCCTCAAAGAGCTGCCGCTCAATCTGGAGGGAGAGAGGAACAGAGAGCCAGGCCAAGGTCAGCCTCCCTGGAGCATGGACAGTCACAGGCTGGGGGAGGGTGGCAGTGGTAGGACCACACCAGCCATGGGGGCAGCAAACAGGTGAGACCAGAGAGGCTGCAGGTGCCCATGGTGCAGAAAAAGCCCTGGACTGGGTGTCAGGAGACCTGGCTTGGCCAAGTCCAGACTTGGCCGTCAACTAGCTATGTAACCTTGGACTAATGACTTAGCTATTCTAGCCTTAGTTTCCACATCTATAAAATGGGAATAAGAATGGCTACTTGGCTTCCCTTGGAAATAGGAAACTCCTTTGATAGCCTAGATGTGAATGTTTTCTGCAGCGGATCAGGCAAGAGCTCCAGTGACTTTGTCCCCTCCGTTTTGATGGCTGTGAGAGAGCTTAGGACCTCATTGGTAGGGGCTCTCTGTGTTTAGATGGGACTTCAACTGCGTGAGACTGATCGGGTGAGACCTCAGGAATGTCTCTCCAGGAGGGGGCACTTCCTCCTAGCCAAGAATTCACACAGAACACGACAGCCCCATGTGTTTGGACACAGGGAAGCTGTTCTGCCTTCATAATCATAATAGCTAACATTTATTCAGCACATTCTATGCGCCAGGCATTTTTTATGTATTCCTTCACTTAACCCTCATAATAATTCTATCAGACACGTACAACTATCATGCCCATTTCACAAGTGAAGACCACTTGAAACTGCTCTATGGCCCAGGCAACCACCATCTCTGGCCTCTTAACTGGTCTCCCTGCCCCCAGCCCAGCCAAGTGAGCCTGTTAAAGTCAGATCCTGTTACACCTCTGATCAAGAGCTTCCGAGGGCCGGCTGAGTGGCTCAGTTGGTTAAGAGCTCGCTCAAGAGTTTGAGCTCTGAGCAACAGCGGTTCAAGTCCAGCCCGAGCTGAGCAGCCACTGAGCTGCCAATAGGTAGCAGGATGGCTCAGCTAAAAATAAAT